GACAGGTTTTGAGTCCCCGACATTGAACGGGATAATAGGTATCTTCCTCAGTTCACTGCAGGAACACCGCCATTTCAAACCCCCACCCTAGGCCGGCTTCGAGCTGACTGTAGCTATCACTGCCAAGACATATGTCCTGCGCCAAGTGTTCTCCGGCTCTGTCTCCTAGCCACGTTGTAGTCATATAGATCATGCGAGAAGCTGCGTTAGTTATCCTGGCAGGTGTCTTGGCCGCGAGCGATGATTTTTGATTTGTGCAAAGCAGGAATTTTCAAGCAACAGCTCTGGTAATCTCCTCGCTGCTGAATACGCGGAGGATGCAGATTGTTGCACAGGGCAGTTCACCATAACTCTCATCATCCCCTACATTCGTTGTAGAGCCTTGGCCACGCGACTTGAGCCGGCCAAAATCGGAGCAACTGTGGCAGACAATGTCCGCGTATGGCTTGGCATCACCAACACCAAATGTGCCCGACGAAAGAGAGGTGTTATGACTTCCGCAATGTGTCTCGTAGATGGCTCTGTTGAGGCGTTTCCTCGAGTTCGATTTTCGTGATATGCTGCCCGGGAACAACGACAAGACCGATAAATCGACTGGTCATATCCACTGTGACATTTTTCGGCTCAGGGTTCGCTTCGATTTGTTCGTCATTGGTGTTTGCCGTAGCATCCCTGATGGCTGATGGGGAGGGAAAGCGATATTCGTACGTGCCCGCGAGGATAATGTTCCTTTCCTAAGAGACATGAGCCCCAGTCAGTGATTGCTCGTAATATTCTCCATAATATTTGTCCGTGCCTCTACTTCAAGATCCGGGAACTGGGTCATGACGAGGTCATGGCGCACTCACCGCATCTGTACATTTGAAAGTGCCTACAAACATGCGCGTGTCTGTAGTGTGCACCCGTAGTGTTTGTCCGATCAACGATTCCAGATAACGAATGGCTTGCATTTCATCCATGATTTTTGTTTTGCCGCTGTCGGTCAAGGCGAAGGTAGCAGTTTTGCTTTTGACTCGGTGCGTTCGCCCAATGGAAGACGTACGTTGGTCTGTTTTGGCAACTGAAGAAGAACAACAAAAGACAGCTCGACGCGGCAATTGGTGAAGGAATGGGGAGGATTGATCAAGACCTCAGAGTCTTCTGGCCAGCAGAAATTTGGTTGGATTTCGCAAATAACTGTCGACTGGCTGACAGTGCCGGATAGCTAGAGTGTGACGGCCTGACAGACAGTTGAGGGCTTTCAAGGTCTCCGCCTCAGTGTGGTCGCATGTGACACATCACCTCACCATTCATTAAGATGTTGATATCAACATGGATAGTAAACAACAAACGATCCTCTACTTCAAGAAGGTAATATGATAATATGGATTATTCGTCTCATTATATTTCGACTACTTCTTTTTAGGTGTATTTTCGATAAATATGATGCGGGTATATTCGGGCTTGGAGGCGTCGTTGGTGATGGCCATCTTGGGCAGAAACCAACCTGTACATAGCCATAAACAGATCAATGAACGGTCAATGCTGGGAATGAGGGTGCTTAAGCAATCAGGATAATGCACTAAAGCGGTCAATCAGACCTATATGAAGGGAACACTTGCGGATACATGGCAGCAGTGTCTCCGGTCGGATGTTTTAGGTACCCAGATAAACAAGAGAAGGTATATATCATCGCGGGTATTGGGAGTCGCCGATACGCTCCAGTTGCAACATACGTGCGGACAGCCGATTCGAAGGCGATAAGACCATCATGCCCACGCCAGAGCTCCAGCCCATCTCTTCGAATATTGACCTGAATCGTCGGAACTTGATTCCATCCTCATATCCGCATGGGCACTCGCAAACTGTGGTGCTGAGCTACTCGAGCTGCCTTCACTTGAGACGCCTGGAGAGGCTACAATATGATTGCAATTGTGCAGGGGAATGCTCTTCGATTGGGAGGTATGGTGCATTTGTCGGTCTGCGGTGTCGTTTGAATGGGGAAGAGGAGGGGAAGCGTGATACGTCTGAAAGAATTTATGCAAGGTTTGTTGGCGGGGGTCGGTAATTTCTGATGGCGGTAGTGGTTCTGAATCCATGTCTTCGTCTTCATCCTCATCCTGAACAACTGGAGGAGCAGGTCCGTGTTGGTGCTTTTGAGCATTGAACAACCAGCGGAGAGTATTCTCTATAGCCATCAGTCAACACGGCTGAAGTATATGAGGCTTAAGACCAGGCCCGTTTTTACCATATACCACTTTCTCGTCTGGTCGATCATCTCTGAATCGCTTCCGTGTTCGGCTGTGAAGATGTCTTGGAGAATCTTCCACAATTCGCGACGGCCCTGCGACAACTGGCATCATATTTACGGGCGACAGTGCGGAGAACGAAGCTTTTCGTTTGAGAGACATGGCCCTCTAGTGCGCTACAAACAAACAGGCAGAAGTCGAGGTCCTCAAAGTCTCCGCGCTGCCAATCGGCCGCTTCTGCAAATGGCGAACTTGTAGAACAATGGAGAAGCAGTATCACGAAGAAACACACGCCTGCGCGAGTTCATTCGCAGAAGAGCGCAGAAGAAAAAGACGAGAAGTAGTGTATCCACGAGGCTGAAATGCACGGGGTTGCTTGAGAGCACATATGCAGGGAAATTGAGAGTGGTTGGCTGCGCATCGCGTCCTGGCGATACGAAAAGTCGCGTCATAATTGGTGTGCCAGAAAAATGTACGCTAGGCCACATTGAGATTAATTGGCATCATGAGGGAAGATCTCCATCACAGTGAAAAGAAGCAATTGACTGATTGATACTCAACATAAGATTAATGAGTAGCGAAATGATGGAAATCAGTCATTGTTTTCAGGTTTGAGTACTTTTCGTCTGGCTGTCTGTATAAGGTCAGTTACACATTCTCATGGTAAGGCCTGCAAAATCACACGAGCTCTTGCACAATTTACTTCTTCATAACTCACACAGCCTCGAGTCACCCAGAGAGTTGAATGTAATCAGTTAACGAAGGGGAAACATTTTCTACGATCAGAACACAAACTGGTCATCTTCTCAACGGAAATTGAGGTACAGGGATTCCTAATAAAAGGAGCGGGCAGAGAAGCTGCCTACCATATATCTCGCAATGGAAACCAGCGAAGGTACAAGCGAACAACGCGATGAACTGGGGTTATAGTCGAGGATGCTTACAAAACAAGCATGACTCACAGCTCAACAAAGGTCATCAGATCCTACCTTATTGATCTGACTGGAATTTTTGCTTCGGTCGAGATGCGTAGCAGCCACTATGGGCTACTGATGAATACGTTCGGCATGTCGCTTTTGGCTGGACCTCATGAGCCCTTTCTCAACCCATGGAGAGATCAGGAAGTTGGGACACGCCCACTGAGACGGTTGAGATTAAAACTGTAGTTGCGGCCATCAGGGGTGCAGAGACGTGATCATGGAACCCTCCAGTTTCGTCGAAGGTACCAATGAAAAAGGCTCATTTCAATGGGCGCAGTCCGGAGCGCGTCATATATCTGCTTCAAAAGGACCTCACCATCGGAGAGGAGCGCAGTTGGATACATGTTTGAAAAGCCCAGGGCACAGCTCCCGTCAGGGCCAACGCAAGAAGGGCTGATGTATGTAAATTCAGGCAGCCGTCCCAAATGCGCCCCTCGAAGGAGTCTTTAAGGACTTCATGTTGGATGATGCGCTATTGTTCCACGCATAGTAGAGCGCATCAGCATCTTCAGGTGTCAGGCGGTACTTGGTGGTCTTGCGGACAATAGCTACATTAGGGAAGGATGCCTACTTTTTCAGTCTCGTGCTGGTTCGATAGGCTCCCAGCGGGGTTTGTAACAACGTCAAGTCCATCGTGATTTGGTATACTTGCTCACAGACATCAAGTGTCGCATAGGTACAACACCCACATTCCTTGACTGGCTGCTTGTAAGCACGTGTGATGGAACACCGCAGCATATGGACAGAAAATAAGGAACAATGCAACGACATGCCGGTAAGCCGGGCTTATCTCCGAAGGTTACTTTAGTTTAGTTGTAACTTTATTGAATCATCACTCGAGACAGGACCTGGTATGGCCAGTTCATGTACGCCAATGAGGGCGCTAGGCCAGTGTGCACTGTGCACAGAGTTGCACAATACCAGAGTCCAGAACTGGCTATGCTCCTAGATGCATCGAGATTTGCAGCTATTGGTCTGTGGGACGGGGTCCAATCTGAATTGAAGGGAAATCCAAAGAGCATACAGTCAAAACCCCATGGTCCTATGGGGGGATCCATCGTCATTATTGACTCCATGCGAACATGAAGCAACTGAAATGCCGTTGATTATAAATAATGAACAACTAACTACTGACTGCCGGGGCCAGTTGCCATCTTATTCTTTCGGCTTCCCGATTCCTGCCTGCCCGGGAAAGTCTCGACTCTTTGCCTTGATCCGATCTCCTCGTCTACTCCACCAAAACTGGGTGCTTGCGGGGGTTACTTCGGCCATTGATTTCATGCAACAAATAGGCAAGGTGACGTATGCACCTGCCTAATCTTATATAATTGGATTAGCTACAAAGGCTGTCAGAATGTGTAATCAAAAGCTAATCTCTTCATACTTGACTCGACTGGTTAAGCTTTGACTAGTGCTAATAGACTGATTCGGGAAGCCCCCAGTCCCTTGCCAATTTTCGTAATAATAATGTGAGCGCATGATTTGCACGTGCTAAATAATATAATTAAAAGATATAGAACTCATCGCTAGGACTATACCTAGGGTGAATAAAAACAACCTGGAAAATGTTTCGACAGCAACCCATATATAATCAGACATAAGACTTTCATCTTCCTTGCTCCTCAATCAAAACACCCCACAATTGTACTACAATGGATGGTATTGCATCTTCCATTTTGGCCGCCGTCGCAGCGTCCACTCTCTTCACCGGCTCTATCGCGGCTCCTCCCATCCAGCAGAATGGAACCTATCCTATGCAACTTCGTCTGGCATATTCGCCGGACCACACAGCATGACCGTCAGCTGGAACACCTACTCGCAGTTGCCTCATCCAACAGTTTGCTTTGGGCGCAGCCCCAAGCATCTAAGCCGATGTGTCTCTTCTAATGTCTCCATAACCTGTCCCACTTCCACGACTTACAGCAATGATGTCTCAATAGCCGGGTTGGAAGCTGATACACTGTACTACTACCTGCCTCAGCATAGCAATGCGACTACTCCCTACACCTTCAAGACTAGCCGTCAGGCCGGTGATCAGACCCCTTACACCGTCGCCGTCGCGATTGATATGGGTCTCATGGGTGCTATGGGTCTCACCACAAGTGTTGGAAAGGGGGCTCATAACCCTCTTGGTCCTAACGACAACAATACAATCCAGTCCTTACTGGCCCAAGAAGTCAACACTGACTTCCTTTGGCACCGTAAGTCTTCTCACAGTAACGTCTACGGGAGCAAAGATCTAACATCTCTCAGCTGGTGACATTGCGTACGCTGACTACTGCTTAAGGAGGAGGTCCAGGGTCCTTCCTAACACCACCATAGCCGATGGTGCTAAGGTGTAGGAGAGCCTGCTGAACCAGTATTACGACGAACTGGCAGTTATTACTGCTCACAAGCCCTATATGGTTGGGCCTGGTAATCATGAGTCTAACTGTATATACCTTTCTCTGGCATACATATTTTAATGATCTGTTAACCGCCACCGTAGGCGATAATGGTGGCACCACTGATAGTGTCCACACCATCACCTACAATGTTGGCATCTGTATGCCTGGCCAGACTAACTTTACCGGCTTCCGAAACCACTTCCGCATGCCCAGCGCTCAGTCTGGTGGTGTGGAGAATTTCTGATACTCATTTGACAATGGGATGGTCCACTATATCCAGCTTGACACTGAAACAGATCTTGGTCATGGGATAGTCAGTCCTACTATCATCAGGATGAAAGTGATACTCGCGAATGATCTTCGGTAGGACACTATATATTCAGCTCTTCCCTAAAGTCCAGCACATACGACCATAGGGTGTGGAAAACAGGGCTTCCCGTCCGCTCAGCCGTACTTAAGCCACACGCCGGCCGGTTAGTAGTTGGGTGGGTGACCACCAGCGAATCCCGGCTGTTGTATGTTTTTGTCCTTTTCCCTCATTTTATCTGTTTATCTTGCTTTCTCTATGGACCTAACTAGACTCTTGATGTCCATCCTTCCAAATTTAGGCAGATGTGCTGGCCGATCCTGATGTACTACGCTGCCGATGTAGTGGGAAACATTTGGTGCTATCCTTAGCAGATACTAACTAGACCACCCACCCCTGTACCACCTACCCCAGTTAAGAATGGCCTATCCTCTAGTCCAAAGTTTCGATCACACCTCACTATCGCACGGTCAACTCAACATGTCCTGGGGCAGTCGTGACTGACCCACGGAATACAAAAGGTATGAAGAAAGCCACTAGATACACACCTGCGCGGAAGTCACTTTTGCCAGGATACCGTCGGACTATGATATGGGATCTTGGCGCCCCAGACACACACAGCGACTGCGACCATTCCATCGTAGCGGCCAAGGCCGTTCAAATACTCAAAAGACCGAGATGAGTAGAGATGTGTGGAATCCTAGAATGAAGGCTGGGTGTGGCCAAAGTCCTTGACGTGGTTTATACAAACTTGGAGCATAGGGCTGAGGGTCATTCTGCAACTCGCCTTTAAAGGCTGGCTTTTGAAGAGCAGCCTTTGAAGCGTGCTTTGCTGGAGAGAATGAGATTCATCTCATCGTTTTCGTTCGGCCATTAAACTGATGCCTGGACTTCTACGGCTCATTGCGTAGGAATAGGCACCATGCGTACATCAGAGAGAGATGAAACTGGAGGTCATGGTTGTCGACATGCTGCCGACATCACCTGCCCGTCGTGTTCGGTGCCTAAGGCTAAAAGAGCTAATGTCACTGCCTGCAGCCTCGTAGTCACTGGTACAGGCAGAAGGCAAAGGTTCATTCCAAGAATAAACTTTTATCCATTTATAAATAGACCTATCCAGCTCGCCAAGTGAGTACAAAAGTTGAAAAGGACAGGAAGATGGAAGAAAATATACAAAGCGCCAGATGACAGATGTGCAGAGTATGACGTTCAATGGCGGATTCAGAGTATAAAATAGAACATTTTGCCAATGGGATTCGCAAAGTCAACAATCAAACATTGGTGCCTAGAGTTCTCGTCAGACACTTCTGCAAACAAGTCGATTCGCGGCCTATGCGTAATCCCTGACGTAGCGACCTGGCAACTCAACGTCCCACATAGGTCTCTCGACAACGGCAACCTCCAGCGTATTGCCCGCAGTACTGTCTTCGACGCCATCCTCGGTCGACGAAGGGCTGAGAGGCACAATGCCGAGTAGATCACGGTACTTGTACGTGTACCACCACCGACGTGCCGGTTGAGTTCCATTCGACTGCACCAATTGTTTCTGGGGCGTGTCAAGCATGTCATGGTCATTCGGCTTCCGAGCCGGTGTATCACTGGATCCATTGAGCGAGAGAAGCTTATCACGAGGCCCAAGAGAGACTCGCTTTCGCGGAGTGCTGATTTCGTCTTCCTCAAGCTTTCCTCTTCTGAGTCGCGCCAAAGCTGCGTCATGACCTGCTGCAGAGTTTTCGTCATACTCGAAGGCCTCTTCGTCTCCTGCTGCTTGTGGGCGTTCCTTGTCTAGGGAGACCCACTCTCCCTTGGAATCATCGTGTCCTTCGATCTTGCGATATTTGGAGCCAAAGTGAACATCTGATTGAGCCAGTGACATTCGATCACCAGCACCACTATTCGCTTTACTTCTCTTCTCTTCTTCCTCTAATTGCTCACGCTTTCTCTTGTGAGCCGAAGATGCCTTAACGAGCTGTGTCGAAGAGTCTCCTTCTTCGTGGCCATCTGCGGTTTCCTTCATCTCTTCCGAAGAGGGAAAATCCTGATTCAGGTCAAACATCCACAACCAAGAAGTACCGTACAACCACAGGCGGTCACGAGACTCGGAAAGATCCCACAAGCAGCCCATTGCGCGGTCCTTGACCCCCTTAAATTGCTCCGGAAGATAAGCCTTGGGATTCCTCCTTGACCAGTCCGATAGCTTTCCTTCGAGAGCGTCGAATTCCACAAGCTGGTGTTCGCTCGTGAGAGCCATCAATCGACTCTCGCCCCTGAGAGATATTTGGGAAGACGGATCAGTACCGTTTGTGAGAAGCTTTGCTTCTGCCGGGCTTTGGGGGCGGAAAGAGAGCAAAAGCACCCCAGATTTGAGTCTGGGTATAGGTGAGTCAGCATTGGCGTACTGCCAGCGCTCTCCGTCTATCACTGGTCTTTCATCCTCATCGTCCGAAGATTCATCGTCAGAATCCGCAGCGCCGTTGCGCTTGTTGGCAGCTACTGAAGACGAGTCCTCGACATTTTTCAGGAACCAGGTATCGACACAGCCGGAAAGATCACCGGTCGCTAGAATTCTGCTGTTCTCGGAAAATACAACGCAGCGCACAGTTCTCTCGTAGTCCCCTAGAGTACCATGAGAAGCCTTCTCGTGACGAGTGTGCCGAGTCGCCCTGTCAAGTTTGACAAGCTGCGGTAAGATCTGTGGTTTGTCCTGAGGAGACGAAGCAGGCATGACCCTGGCCAGGAAGGTGGCGCTATTAGGTCGAACCACACAGAGCCACCGGCTGTCCGGCGATATGGCCACAGCTCGTGCACCATCCGTAGAGAACGCGGCAGGAACATCCAACTTTGTTATGCGTAAAACCCCTCTTTCATCACTCTTTCGTCGTCGGACGGAGAAAACCTTGACCTCGGAGACCGTAGCCACAATAAGAATTTTTCCGTCCACGGAGAGCATCGCTGACGTGATGTTTTCTTCGCCCTGTGATAAAGCGATAGGGCACGCCTTAGCAGCTTGTCATTTCATCAAGGGTATTTTGCATTCTCACCTGAATTAAGACCTTTCCGACGAGCCGATGCTTCTGCCCATCCAGATTATCGTGTGGTGTGGTAGGGCCACGAGACACGCGCCAGATGCTGACCTCTCTGTCCCAGAAGCTCATCACAAGCCTAGAGGAAGGAGAAGATGCCAGTTGAGGTATTTGCGGCAGACTGGAGAGCTTCCTGTGATGTTCTTTTCCAAATTCACGCAATGGGAGTACGACAGGTGAGGCGTCGGGACCTAAGGAATGTCAACTCGCCGAAAAACCTCACAAGAGGAAGCAAAGGGAGTTGAATCTTACCTCCAGAAACAATAATACTGATATCCCTTGTCTCATAAACAGCAAAAGTCTTAACGTCGTGGGTGTGGTACCGACGGTGCATCACTTCAGCCCATCTTCCCTTCTTTTCGCCTTTCTCTCCCGGACTTTTCCTGTACACAACCGTCCTCTGGTCCGCACCTCCACTGACGACTGTATCTCCATTGGCGCTGACAGCGACATCGAGGGTATCTGCTAGATGACCTTGTATACGTTGAATAAGGGAGTAGTTCTTCGCATCCCAGAACCGGATCTCGCCTGCGGAGTCGCCGGAAACAATCGTACCGTCCGGAAGGCACTTAACCGACCAAACCAGTAATTCCTTGGGACCACCAGCCGGCCCTTTGCCGAGAGAGATTGTACGCAGAAGCTGCCCAGACCGAATATCGAATAGTCGAATCGAGCTGTCCGCATAACCAGCCACGATGGTGTTGCGATCTTGGAAAGTGACGCTAAGGACTCTGGCTCTCTTTGTCGATGGACGCATCAGTCGTAGAAATTTCAAGTCGCCGTCGGCAGTAGACAAGATCACGATTGAGCCATCCGCGCATCCAGCCGCGAGATGCTGCCCGGTGTACTCTCCCTCTGCCGGCGGCAGAGGCTTTCCATCCTTGCCGCGCTTCGTAGCCTGCCATCTTGGTTGCGCTGCTATACACCAGATTTCACCGTAGTTTCCACTCGAGTGACGCATGGGGCGGCCTTGCTCCAGATTCCACTCCGTTACCGCGGTCGAGTATCCAATGCTGAACAAGCGCAGTTTTCCCGGAATCTTGGTCCCGTCAGGTCCAGCCTCTGGCGGATCGAGAGTCCATGCAAGCCCTTCTATACTTCTATCTTTTCCTCCGCGCATGACCGTCTCCTGGAACCAGGCGCCGCGCATTGGGTTCCAAATCTCGATATCGCCATTTGCGCGGCCGATGGCAAGCCGGAGGGTAGGGACACCTCGACCGGCAAGTTCCGCAGAGGGAGGATGAGAGAATGAGAGCGCATTGATCGCCTGGGGGTTGTAAGGCACGAAACGGCAGCGATGAATATCCATTGTTGGCTATCTGATGCGATCAAGGTCTTGTATTGAAAATTTCGAAGTAGAAAGGAAGGGAAGCGAGGAGGGTAGATCCGTCAAATGAGGGAGATATCTACCTTGGCTCAAAAGTTAGAGCCAGCCGCTAAACGATCATTCCGGTGGTATTGGGTAGTGTTGTTCGTGGTGTTAATCGTTTCTGACGTCCTTTTTTGCTTCTCAACTTTTTTTTTCTTGCCTGTAGAATACAATTTTTAGCGCGCCAAGAAAAACTCCGCGGAGATATGTCACGTGATAATATCCAGCTATTACGGCTATGGCCCTCATTTCTACTGACCTCCAGAGATTAGCCATCAAGCAATGCGGTGAGGCCTTTGATTTTATGAACTACGCCTCTGAAAGCGCTATGGCAATACAATAATGTTGCCCGTGTCATACCGGCGGTGACCCAGTAGACGCCGACCACCTTAACGCCGATTCTCATCCGAGTTCTGACAGACAGTTTTGAGATAGACAATTAGTGGCATAGTTTTGTTCAATGTAACGTAATCCACCACCGAGCG